GGTCAATAGATAGTAAGTAAGTACCAAAATATTGAAAAGTGGCCAACATTACTCCCATTTTTAAAAGTAAGTCATAATAGACAATAATTACTTACTGGAAAGAATTCAGAGGGCTACGAGGATGATTATGGAAATGGAAGGGTTATCTTATATACAAGTTACAGTTTCTTCAACATTTTTATTTTCTTGAGAAAAGACAGACAAGAAGTGATTTTATTGAAGTGTTCAAGATTTTCCAGGAGCTTGACAAGATAAAAACCTCTGATTTTTGTGTGTGTGTGTGTGTGTTTGTGTGTGTGTGGTATATTCTGAAAATAACAAAACACGGGGATGCAAGTATATGATTTGATAAAGACAGGCTAGTTTCCAGTTAAGACAGTTTTGTCTGACAGGATAGCTTAATTCTAGAATGATTTGTTGCTAAAAATTCTTAAAATGTGCTTGAACATAAACTTGTTTTTAGCCAAAACTACAAGCAAGTTTATTACGAAAAAAAAAATATATTCTGGGATAATTTAACATTCAAGCACCAAAAATTCAAGTTTAAAATTTCAATGAATATTCTCAAGTAATACCATATGCAAAACATTATTTATTATAACTTAAGTAAGTACTTTAGCTAGTTCAATATCCTGATTTTTAGATGATGGATGCTAATAGTCAGTAATAATTTATTCTTGGTTATAAATACTATGAATTGTAAAGAACTTTACCAAAAAATAACCAATTCATAAATGTTTATGTAATACAAGGTTTTCAAAACTTTTAATTGCTATGTAAGACATCTATTATCAATAATCTAAGCAATCCATGTAAAAATTGTAACAAGTTAAGAAAAAAAAATCCAAAATTTCTAACAGGCTTGTACTTAACTAGCAATGATATGCTTTTCAATTAATAAAATATTATTTAGAAATGATTTAACAGAACAATTTCAGGCAATAAAAAACATTATTTTGTGTCTTGCTCATACAGTAAGTGCAGAAGTGTAGGAAACAAATTAAAAGTGTGGGGACATGGTTTAGTTGACCAAAGAAAATGAGGGAATGTGCACCACAAGTGCTAGGGTCAAGAGCTTACCTAAGGGCCCTGAAAACTCCTGGTTTAATTTTTATGCATTCTCCTGCTATTCCTAATTTTAAGGCATTTTTACTGAGACAGATTGAAACGTGGCGAGCTAGCCTCCTCACTCCCTATGCCACTGAAAACAATGAAAATGTGAGCAGGTACACTCACGTACCCGCTTTCTCTGTTCATAAATTTGAAAACGTATAGTCTGTTTCAGCTGATAATTTTCTCTTACTTTGCATTGAAAATCAAGCTTAAGTTTTGGAAAGAAATATCCTTCGCATAAAATATTTGCAAACTATGAAAGCATGCCATATGATTACTGATAAAGATTTAATGAAAACCGGTAACGTTCACAAATTACAGGGATGAAGCCAAAATTACACTTACTCCCTTCATACTCCCAGAATGGCACGGTTCCATCTTTTTGTGCTAAATATGGTCCTTTAAAACTGTACTTATATTCAAATCTAGGATGAGGTGTCTCAACAACTCCTGTTGTTAAAACAACACATAAAATACTACCAAACACAGCAAACAACTTCAACATTGTAGCCATGGTGAAACGTGTAAGAGAGAAGCGCCCTCTTCAGTCATTAAATTTAAGAATTTGTCGCGTGGCTAGTAATCAGTGCTTATCAGACAGGGTAAAATTACTCTAACCTATCATATTTAAGACGAAGCATCTTGAAATCCCTTTTCTAAAATATTTTTTCAAAATACTGCAATATTATTGTAAAACCTCTGATGGAGTGTAAAGCTTAATTTAAATTTCCGTGCTAAGTTATGAGGCAATGGTCAGCTCTCAACATTCTGCCACGTAGAAAGTTATGTCCAATAAAATCACAAGTAGTCAGTCACGTGGGTTATATATCACGTCACTTAATCTACCTATACATTTATTATTTTGAATACAACAAGTGGGCCGGAGCTTATTTCGCTTGTTGTTTAGTTTCGTACCAAACACATATAGCCACTAATTTCTTCTCTTAAAATATCTATCATGTTGCCATGTGTACACTAGTAAAATATCTCTATAAAAACGCGTCAGTTTGTTTCTTTTTTTTTTACTTAAGTATTGAATGTAACTTAATAGAGTCGATATAATTTGATGTGCATCAATTCCATTCAGTATTTTAATATCGATTATTAAAAGCCCAAAACAGAGTTGACTGTTCATTAACAACTTAGCACTTAGTTAAATTTGTTTTTTCTGGACGACATGTAATATGATCGAAATATAATGTCAGAATGATGTAATAATTGAAACTGATAATTTGTAAAGTCTAACTACAAAAATGTAGTTTAAAGTATGCAATACAGTAATAAGTTAAATTTCAAAATAAACCTATAAAAAATCTGTTTGCATTCTCTTCTATAATTGTGATTTTCAGTTAAAAGTCGATTTCCCGAAAAGTATTCAGATAGAATTTTCCGCAATAACAGCAGAGTTCTTCCAGAAAATTTACGAGAGTTCTTGCGAATGAGTTATTTCGACTGAATGCTCATTCTAGTGTAATAATAAATAGCCTGGATAGGTTTTAAACAAAATCTTTGTTTAAACAACAAAAAAAAAAAAAGGAAAGTTCAATGCGTGTATACTCGCATATGTCGGCGGACAGTGTCCTTACTTTCTTTCTTTCGAGAAAGACCCAAACACCAAATACGAGCAGTACGAAATCAAATTTTCACTAGGAGAGAATTAAATAAAGAATGTGAGCCTGGATTCCAAACATCAAGAGCACTTTAAATGTCTAGCGAACAGCATCACCTCACAATCTTTAGCTGTTTTCTGACAGCAGACTAATGCTGTCAGATTAATTTAACGCCACAGTTCGGCCAGCGAAGAATATTTCAGATCTAAATAATTTAACTTAGGCTCAAGATACACAATGAAATATCCTTGTGGGCAGAAGACGTCATCTAACAAAATAATAAATGGCTGAAGTGACTACAACAGGATAATACTGGACACCCTAGACCTATATACTATGCCTAGACCTCGTGCTACCGCAATGATCGACAGTGTGGAAATAATTAATAATTTATAGAAAAAATGCTATATCGCTATAGAAGGTAGGTGAACGTGTTATGACTTCGTACTACATTATTAAAAACAATACCAGTCATTGTGAATATTAAGTACTAGAGAATTAATTACTAGGTATAATACAAAAACTACCCCTTTCCATCTCTGTATGTTTTAAAGAATATTCAGAATATGCCTGTAATCTATTAAACAGTTTAAATATTATTCATAAATACATTACATATATATTTTAATTTCTGTTGTATTTTAACTCTTCATGAGACAGTAATGATTCCAGAATGTCATAGATATTGATCAATTATTTGAATAAATAACTTTAAAATGATCTCCAAATTTATGCTTCTGAAAGCATTGTGTTGCGTCATCGAGATCACGTGACTATTCTCACGCCCTCTTCTTTCTAGAACTATCCTGTA